AGAAGGTCTTTGTTTTCTAGCAACGAGCACAAATATTATGTACGTAACTTACACAATATGATGGCCAACGAATGTACGTGACATTTATATTTACGCATCCCAGCAACCACATGAGGTGAGAAGACAGCAATGGTGTGTGTCGATACTAAAAAGTTTTAGTGGATCGTCTTTGGCTCTTGGATAACCGCACCCTACGATAATATATAAGCTATAACCTTTCTGTGAGCATTCTTGATCGAGTGCAGCTATCGAAGCGTCTGGTGTTATAGTTCAAAGTTGCTTAAATCGGTGCTATAGAACGTGCTGCCACTTTAAAGTATTATTGAGGCATTAAAAATAAAAAAATAAATAAATCAAATGTAGCCGATTTTTTTTAACATGATACGCGTTTGTAATTTGTCTTTGCAAACACATTTTAGGTATACTGCCACACAGCACGGACAAACTATTGCCGGTCTTTCTAATTTTGTTTTTTAGAAATAAATTATGTTTAGAAAACTGTCAATGCAACTATCGGACCTAAGTGGCAGAGCTCAGTGCTAGACAATACATGTTGCTGGGCAGAAATAGTAAATAGCGCCGATGTCGCGTTCGGGCTAAAAGTGCCACGTAATGCACGCGTACCGCTATAAGTGCGTCCGTACATTTCATCGAACGCCGTTTCATCAAAACCGTTTCATCGAAGCCGTTTCGTCGAACACCGTTTCATCGAACGCCGTTTCCTCGAACGCCGTTTCAAAGAAGCCGTTTCCTCGAACGCCTTTTCATCGAACAACGTTACAGTGTGTAATATTTAGGAATTTACTTTAATTTTTATACACAACTTCATCTAATTCTCTCCTTTTTTTTTTTTTTCTTTTGTTTCTGTTTTTATATCACTGGGTGCAGTGACGAGATAAGTTCCATCGTGAACATTTCCTGCTTCGAGAAGAAGCCTCCATGAAACAATGACCCCTCTCCATGTCACATAAAACAATTAAAAATGAGGCAAAAACAGAAAGCACGGACACTTAAAAGTGTTCTAAGTGTCTGTCCTTTATTTGCAGCGTCGTGGTTTCAGTCATATATGTATATGAGTAAAGATTTTCAGTAAGTCGCATACCCAATTGTTTTTAGTTCTTTTTATGCCAATTGCTTTTATCTTTAGTAATTTGACACCACCTTCAAAACAATTTCACAAGTGACTACCTTAGTCTTAACAAATGCAAGGCGAAACATCTATAAAGCACTGTTATGCCCCAAAACTCGGTACAGAGCCATAACAGAGAAATTCGATGAAACGGCCCTTAGCGATTCGATGAAACGGCGTTCGATGAAATGTCCGTTCATTCGATAAAACGACTTTCTATAAAATGGCGAAAAAGTGAGGTTCAGGCTTGGTCGGAGATAGCTATGGTTACACTCGTACGCTTTTTCAGTTCTATCTCGCATATATAAGCTTCTTGCTCAAATAAACATTGGCATCTGACTTTTCGCTCATATGGCCTTTAGCGCGACTGTTAAAGAGTTCTAAAACAGTCAAAGCAAAAGTGATTTAATTAGCTCGGGATTATAGGTTGAGCGAAATATTTACAAAGGTCGAGGTTCCCTGGGTCGTCTTTTGTATTCAATCCGCATATACTATGTCCCCCTGGCCGTATAACTCACCTGAACAAGCCATATAAACGTAGTTTTCAGCTTTTTTTAAATCTGCAAAGCTTAAGAAAACACACTTTATATTAATGATACATCAATCGCCGCACCAGTCTCTTCCATAAGGCTAATGTTAATAAAATAGTCACTGTGAAAGGTGCTTCCGACTTTGAGACGTAGCGAAGGTCAGCACTCCCGTTCCTCGTGCAGAAGTACCGTCAAACTGCAGAAATTCCCGTTGCCCCGTCAATCTTTCTGAAAGGATCGAATACCTCGGGACTCGTCAGACTTGGGGGCTGCGGTGGAAACAATGACGCCCTTTCCCTGGTGATGACTTTTTGAAAGATATCCCCTTTTGGTAGAGCCCGCCGCACTTCAGCATTGATAGCAGTAGAAACTTGCTCTTAAACGAGAAATATATTATAATCCAACATCGGACTATTCTACTAAATAAGACCTTGAAAATATAGCATACCTGAACAATTTGTAAAGGCGCATTTGGTAGTTCTGAGGGCCCTGCTTGATCTGACATCTCAACTGCCGAGAATATGGCCTTGTACTGTCTGGAAGATGATGTTGTTCCTCCAGAACGTGATTCCCTCGGCTTGACTCGTTTATTGTGACGGCGCGACCTCCACCTTCCCCATACACATCGCATTTCCAGTAGAATCTGCTGCCCGTTTTGCTTATCAACGACATAAGCGTAACCCTCAAAACAGAGTTTGGGCTTTCCTCGTGCTGCCTCCTGAATCTCCATTTCGGACTACTGGCCACTGATGATGGTGTCCATCTTATATATATATATATATATATATATATATATATATATATATATATATATATATATATATATATATATATATATATATATGGCTCACTTCCCCACCATGAAGAGATGATATTCGAATATCCTGATCCTGGAAGATACCCAAGTTTCTTGTATTGTGCATTAAGAGGCGGACAATTAAATAAGCTTTCTAGAAAGATAAACCTAGTGTATTAAACCCGTTTAGTTGTTGTTCATGTGTGTGAGGGGACAAAGAGCAATTCCATCCAGTGTGTCGTTGGAGGGAAACGGAAACGAAGGGGGGAACTGGGCCCGCGCATTTCTTTTACTGAATTCGATTCCTTCTTTTAAAGACGGACTATTGAACAAAAGCCCCCCGCTGTAAACCGACCCCAGGAGGATGCAAACATAGTTTCAGTCTTCAAGCGATGATCGACCATATACATAGCTTGCACTGACGTCACTTCGTTAGACATAACGGGGGAAAGGGCGCGTGAGGGGGTAGATCGTTCGAACTGTCGTCTGCTCTTTGAAACGTTTCTGCTTGTCGTCTGCTCTCTTAGACGACGTCGGCCCGTAGACCAAATGTTGTCCCGGTACTTGCGATAAGTAAGTGCAGGCCTCAAAAGACTTAAATTTGAAGGTTGGTAAGCAGGCTCGATATAAACAATAGATATATGAAGATGTTCATCATTGTTAACAGTGACCATCACCGACTTGTTATGCCTAATTCACTTGGTCCGATTATGCTTGCGATTTTCAGTATCGACGTTGACCATCTCAGCTACGGTTCACGCTTTTGCAGCTCGAGCGGCGTTGTGACTGAAAATTGTGAGCGAAATCTCGTCATGCGGATCAAGCATTAGCGTACATACTGCGGCATCCACGCAGAATGAATCGCCACGTCACATTATTCACACGAAGTATTGCGGTGTAACGAGCCTCGGTAATTTCGCTGACGCCGCTCGAGATAGTCAGACATCGCCAGGAAGACATAGAATCAACAATTTGAACGCGAAAAAGGGCAGGGGACTCACACCGACGCCGGCAACATCGCATTTCAATGGTTTGTTTATGGGCAACGGCGAGCTTCTTGCCCACACCCCCATCACGCATGCGCGGCGCCGGTGGCGTCCGCTAGGGGCATTCTGGTTTGTTTGTAAACACGAGTTGGTGTATAGCAAGTAGTTCAATATAGCAAAAAACATTTATAACAAACTTCCACGAGTTTGTTGTAAAGCGAGAGCTTCTCTTCCTTTGTCACCTCTTCACTTCCGCCTTTTAACATCGCTCTGGAAAGTTTTCTTTTTGTTGTTCCATGCGTGCAGTTTGTTTTCTTCGGCTTATCTCCCCTTCTGAATCGCTTCTCTTCGCTCAATTTTGTTTGCAACTTGAGTTTTTGGTATTTTTTCTTTCCTATTTCTTTTTTGGGGGAAGGAACAGGCTAGAAGATAATTGTTTGCGTGTTTTTGGAAGCCTTCCCGGAGGAAAAAAGTTTGATATAGCCAATATGTTGCTCGTTATAAAACATACTTTTTACATGCATTTTTATTTAAATTTTCTGTGATTTCCTATTAACAATTTGCTGTAAAGGGGTTCGTTCTAAACGGGTTTTACTGTATAGCTTGCTGCTTGTGCGAAGCTTGTTTTTGTTGAGCTCGTATAAAATCCATTTGTAGCCTCAAGTAGATGCTTTTTTGAAGACTTTCAGAGAGGGAGTCATCTAACAGTCCAACTATGAAGCAATCTTGAGCGAGGCTTAAGCGAGTTCTTTCAGAGCGCTATAGTCGCAGTGTTTTACCAGGTGATGTAAGCTGGGTCCTAAATGATTCTACTCTACGGTTTCTTGTTTTCTTTCATGAAATTTGGCTCATTCATAGATGACGTTTCGCTTTCCCATGAAGTGACTGAAAAAATCCTCAGACTTTCTCAAAGTTTCGCTTTTCTCAGTGTCCGAGAGGGATGAGGCTTCTAGGACATCTTCGGCATCATCACCAAGGAAACATACGAGCGCACCTACCTGCTCGCCAATATCGGCGTTGATGAGCTTGGACATGTTTCGATAGCAGGTGAATCTGCAGTGCCACCTGGCCAGTACTCTGGAGTGCAGAAATCGAACGGTGACGGAAAGGTTGCGGTCCGAGACGACGCTCTTTACCCCTGGCCTGGCTAGCCCCAGTGGTGAGCCCTGCGAGCTAGCTGTCTGGCATCCATATTGTGAACTGCATCAAGACACATCTTGCACCATGTAGCCGTATTCAGGAGGGACGTGACGAGGACACCACTACTGGGCTCAGGACACTAGCGTGTGTCCCTTTGCACCTCGTTCTCCTTTGTTCCATGCCTGTTGGCACGGCCTCTCCTTTGCACGACGGTGTATGAAAGATTGCTGAAATTGAACGGGTACTGCCGAACCTGGAGCGTGCATTTTGCCACGGGTGCATAGATTTTGTAAGCTTCTGAGGAGCCTTCCCCGCACCGCAAGTCCTCCTTTGGCAACAGTTTTCCAGCCTCAAAACCAAAACACCAAAGCTCTTAACACTGTACAACAGGTTGCACAAACCAGTTCAGAAATCGTCAATTCTTTAATAAAATTCTTTTATTTCAAAATAATTTCGGAAATATTCTCTCATGGATATCCCTTCGTCAAATATTTTGCTAGGGAATACATCTCACTCCGCATAACACTAGAGGATGGGCACAGACAGGCTTTGAGTAGTTTGAACTGCCGAATGCGCCCCAGTCTCAGTGTTTTCCCTTTTGAATTAGGAGGGGTGGCTGGCGCCCTCTGTCATCACGAGCCGAGCGAGCGCCGGCCGAGACGACCGTCCCGGCAAATTGACTACGAGACAGCACATGCATTCGCAAACACTACCAGGGAAGGATTTCATGCCGAAGGCACCCATGCTAACGCGAATTAGCAGAGTAAAAAGTTTGCTTCCCAGTAAAGTACTTGCTTTTGCTTTTTAGTAAAAGAACAAAGACGCGTGAAAGACGAGACACGGACGACTATTCTTCGATTTACCGAGGGCCGTTGCGAAAAAGGAAGACGGAGGCCAGCCCTCATGCACGCACCCCAGCCAAGATTACTCCCGTTGCAATAACACGTAGAAGACAAGGCCCAAGCATGACGTCATCGTTAGCGGACCTCCAACCGGCCCCAAGCGCGAACACATTGAAACTTGACAGGAGACGCCTAAAAACGGCATGCAGGTAAGTCTCGGTGCCGCCGCATGCTAGCATTGCCCTCATTGCGAAATGCACCGGTAGCCAACGCTGACGCAAGCTGGGCGGTGCTGCACGAATTCACTAATGACGACGTCTGGGGGTGGAGAGAATGCAGTCCTTGTCTTCTAGGCGATATTGGTTTCGGTCATAATGTCGGTTTCTCCAGTTTCACCACGAATATGAGAGCAGAATGGCAGTGTGGTTGTACGTGCTGCGTTGCACTTTCAACAATATCCATCAAATTGGGCCCCGTCAGCCATCCGTCCTCCTTTTCTGAGGATTGCCCAACTGCAGATATGCGGAGCCCGTCGCTTATTGCTCCTTCACCGTCTCTCGCCCCGCAGTTTACTCCGACAACACGCTTCCCCCCCCCCCCCCGAAGCGCCGAGGGGGAACCTCACAGGCATTCTTGGGAGGAGCGAGCGAATACATCTTGCAACTTTTAACGAGAACATCCGACAACGTATCAACATCCGTAACAAAAAGGCAAGAACATGCAGATTCTCACACTAACTCTATCAGACCATCGTGCATGCAGCAGTCAGAGAACCTGGGCACTGTACGGGAAATTCTTTATGAGGAAACTTTTTGTGCGAAATTTCTCGCAAGAAGTGCTTCATTCCTTACGATGAATCGAGCATTAAGGGAGGCAGCAAAATTATTTCTCCTACTGGAGACGTATTAATTGCAGCTCGGTGAAACTAGCAGTAATGTAGTAAGCTGGGTGGGGTGGTGATCATTTAAAACATAATGAAATATGACAACTCACAAAAGGTATGGACAAAGAGAAGTAACATGGAACAGGCACTGACACCCAGCTGAGATAAATTAATGAAAGAGAAGAAAGACAATGCAAACGAGCAAAGGAATCACATTCTTTCTCCTCTTCGTTTCCCGTTCTCGTCGTCAATGTTAAAGGGGTTAGGACACAAAAAATTACACAGGTAGACTATTCTTGAAATGGAATGTTCATGGGTTACTTAGTATATAGGTACATCAAGCTGTGCGATTTTCACAGCTCTAGTAATTCAAATAATCAGTTTATGAATGTTGATCATTTTCGTCTCACGACGACGCAACAATGCAACAATGCTCACCATGGTGCCCATAAACAACATCATCATCATACTTAGTGTAACTCTTTCATTCTAGGCACCCCATGATTACCTCGCCACGGTGCAATCACACGCCCTCGCTCTCATCCCTTCTTTTTGACCTTCCACCTTGCATGCATGTGCGCGATCGTAGCAGGCGACGGCGAGTTCATCTGTAATGATCTCGTCGTCGTCGCTGGAGCTGGTCACGAGCCGTTTGAAGTTAAAAGAACCAGTTCCCAACATCTTTTGATAGCATCACTCTCGTCGCTACTGCAATCAGTGTTGAACACTTCGAAGAAATGAGCAATGCCGCAGATGTCTCCGTCTCCGAACCGCGTGCTTGAAACACGGAAGGTAAACGTGCAAGCTGAAGCGCTATATGCCGAGAGAGCCAAGTCTGCGAGTGCGTACGAGGGGACGTTGCGCATTGGGCGGACGTCGTCACCGACCCAACAAGCACGACCACATTGTCGAATCGGGTGGGTTTGAGGGTCCTGCACAGAAATTCATTTATCTACCAAACTATTGCGCCATTTTCGAGACAAATTTAGTCGGATCATAGGAACATACGATGGGTCCTGGCAGTATATTCATCTCATCTTTTATTTTTGCCATGCCCTAACCCCTGTAAGTACTAATCAGAATAGAACACTCTGCAGGCTTAGTGCCATGTGTCGTTAGTTTTACTATGTACGAGGCATAATAATGAGTGGGTTCCTTTGAGGAGCTTCAGAGTAGAAATGCATCGTCCTGTGCGAGCACGCAGAGAGGCGTTTGCACAAGACCGCAAACTCGTACGCAACACTTCGGTAGACAACAATTCCTTGCTTTATTTTCTACTTGTTTCCTCTTTCTTCTATTTCATAATAAATCTCAGTTGTGAGTCAGCATCTGTTTGCTCAGTGTTTTTTCTTTGTCCAGGTCTTTTGTGTGCTGTCCTTCATTATGCGGCACTAGCAGTTTGTTTTGCGCAACTAACTACCCAATTGGAGCGTAAGAATCGCTCCTCCTATTGGTTACTTACTCACTTCGCTCCAGCAGGTCTGTTGAAGGAGCGTTTGGGCGTCCCGCAATCTATGGGATGAGGCCGACCAACAGCCTCACAAATACAATCGCTTCGGCGAAACGTTTCACTTCTAATCCTCGCATAACTGTGAGGTGCGCATAAAATGACTCGGTGCGCTCTAAGACTAGCTGTACCTGTCTCGAGCTAACCAGGCTTTTTCTCGGCCATGCTCGAAACACACTGAATGCCAACCTCGATCGAGGAGACTCAACAAAAGCTGCGCAGGGTCCGAAGGCAACTAAAACCCTCCGAACGTTTTGAAACCACAGCTGCAAAAGAATTGGAAAGAAAACGACATGCGAGCGCGTCATGCAGTACGCAACGGACAACATCTGGGCTAAAATTGCCTGCAACAGCAAACATGTGTCCTGAAACGTGGGTGAAGTTGGGCACGCCCTAAAGGGGGCTATGCCGCCGGTCCCTCGGTCGGAGCATGACCCTATCCCCCCCCTCCCCCCTCCCCAAACACACTGCTTGGTCCCCCGTCGTTGGAGGCCAACGTTACTAGACCAACTCAGTTGCGGAACTCCTACGAAAGAAGGAACCTTCCTCTCCCTTCCAAAGCCACCACCCGTCGATTAAAGAGTCATCTGGTAGCTCAAAACTGTATTCTTTGGAGAAGCTAAAGCACCCCAATGTGTTTGTGTTCATTTGACAAGTAGCGTCAAATCCGCCAATGCACGAGGGCCATGTCCCGTGTGCTTCTTGGAAGCAAATGGTGGCGCAGCACTGAAATGAGCCAGTATTGGAAGTGAATTGTGGCTGAGCACTCGCTCGAGCCATGTGTCTTGTATGCTTGTGCCAGAGTAGTTGTTAGTGCTTAAAGGGACACTAAAGTGTTTTGAGATTCTCATTTTGTGGTCATAACTCAATCTATGAGCTCTAATCATATTCAAAAAAAAAATAATTACATTCATGTGCGACAGATTTGCATATTAAAATAGCAATCAACAATAGCAACGCTTACCGTTGCTGCAAAACGACAGATGGCACTACTGAACCTTGCCTTGCTGAATATAGTGGAACAACAGACGGCGCTTGTCAGCCGCTTCTTGCAAGCGATGGGTTCCCGCATGTGTAAGTGGCACACAAACCCCGCTCACTTGCGCGTGAGCTTGTCGCTCGCGAGTGGCTGACAAGCGCTATCAATCGTTCAACCATATTCAGCAAGGTTCAGTAGAGCCATTTGTTGTTCTGCACCAACCGTACGTGTCGGGAACTATGATCACTTTTTTAGTCTAAGATTTGAAATTACGACTTGTTACATACGGTAATACATATTCCTGGTTTCTTGTGACATTACCTAACGTTTGTGTGATGCTCTTTTAATATTTTTCACTGTAAACATTCTTACGTTCTACTACAAACCGTAAGCGATGTTTGTGACGGACTACGTGTCTTTCATGTTTTAGTGTAGGTGTAGATATGGGATGTAATAACTTCTATTTTATGTGAACCTGAACTGTCTTTTTACAGTTATTGATATATGTGCAGACTACTTTTTTTCTCCCATCTTTTTTTCTGTATTTTTCTTTTTTTTGTGTTGAAGTGCATGCATGTGTGCTGCTGGACCTGCCTCATGTCGGCCATGTACCGCGTCGAGCGACTCGTTCGCCTTCTGTACCAGGGACCATTTCAAGGAGAGTAATCTTGTCTTTAAAAAGTAAAATGATTTGATTTGATTTAATTTTTTAAGATGCTTAGTGCTCGTAGATTGAGTTATGACCATAAAATGAGTATCTCAAAACGCACTTTAATGCCCCTTTAAACCCTAGTTACACATTTAACTGCAGTTATGTGCGGCAGAAGTCAGACTTAACTGCGGTTAAGGGTTCCCAGGTAACTAGGGTATTAGAAGAAATGCGAAAAGCGAATTTTCTCAAGTGGCTTTAGAAGTCACGGTGAAGTGCCACCTAGATGCTGCACATCAAAATCTGTGTAATACACTAGCTACCGTAGCAGTCGTATCCCAACCAGTGGTGCTTCATACGACGGGAGGTGAACCTTTGGAAAAGAGAGAGAGTACCGCTCCTGGAAGCGGCGTCTACAGGCAGTTCCGCAACTGAGTAGATCTGGCAGCTTGGTCAGAGACCCACAGCCCCAAAGACAGCCCTGGAGTCGCCGCTGTGAGTCCCCGCTCCCAGGGAGGCGGCCGTGATGCGCACTCCCGGCGGCATTGCTCCTGGCTCAAAATCTATCTTCTCGCTGTACTTGGCCATGAGGAAGAGCAAGGCCACACCCACAATGATGCCCACATTCTGCAGCAGGAACACACGCACCTGAAAAGAGAGAGAGAAAGTGAGGTGCCGAGGGCCCCTCTCCCCACTGCTGCGGTGCCAGAGCGTGTCTCCGATCGGCGCATTTACTGTGTCCTTGAAAGTCGTCCCTCAATTTCTACTCGACGACGACGTAGAAGCGCTAAGCTGTGATCACACTGCCAATACATCATACCAAAGACAGTCTACAGACACTGTCTGAGCCACGCCACCGCGCTCCCCCATAGAATTTTCCTTTAGCATCGGGATTTATTTGAACACGGCGCCCGACACAATGCCATGTCCTCGACTGCCGATCGTTTTTTTTAACCCTTTCATGGTCACTGACGAACCTGTACGTCAGTACGGGTGCGTCCCGCATGGTTCCTGATATACATGTACGTCCGCGACTGCGCATTCAAAAATTCCCCCCTCTGCGTGAACGGGTGCGTTCACGGTGACGCGTTGCGATCTGACAGGTTTGTAGGGAACTACGACCATATATCTATATTCATATATCCATATTTATTGAATTGTTTTGGAGGGGCTTTTGAAATTGTGAAACTAGACGCTCTGTGTACGCAATAACTTTCGAGATGGCTGCGCGTGCCGGCTGCTCCGGAGGTAGCGGAGATTGCAGCAATGGCTCTTTGGGTTCAGATTCTAAACCCTTCCCAGACTTGAGTCAAATGACAGCTCGACATCCGATGAACAACTGCAAACCAGCTTGGAGTCAAAGTCCGACACAGCCGCACCGTCTGCTGCACATATCGGAAGCGGGCGCGTCAAAACGAAACAGAATAAAAAAAAGGTGACGACTTCTCCCCATCTATAGTTCTATTTGACGCATCGCGATTCCGGTCAGCCTGCAGGCACTCTACTCCAGCCAGATGTGAAAGAAGCAGAATATTTCAAACTCCACTTCAATGAGAGAGTTGTGTTTGATTACAGACAGGACGAATGGCTACGTGCATCAGCTGATTGCGCAGCCCGACCTCGCACGCGAATCCCGACTGAAAGCATGGGTAGGCGTTGGTCTCCAGATCTACTGCTTTCTGGCAGCTGTTCTGCTGATGGGGCTCGTCCAAAAAAATGCTGCGAGGGATTACTGGACCACCGACCCAATGACTGAGACCCCTTTTCTCTCAACGCTCTTCTCAGTATTGCTTCTGCCTTTTGCTAAGAGTGCTTCCTTTCAGTGCCAGCACTGATGCAGCAGATCGACTAAGAAAAATTAGTCCACCCATGGAAACACTTCAGGCAAAGTTTGCGAATATGCTGGTCCCATACCAAGATTTCTGTATTGACGAGTTGATGATGAAGAGGACGACTTTCATTTCGTAAGTACCTTCCTTCAAAAAGGCACCGTTTTGGAGTGAAGATGTTTGTTCTGTGCGAAGTGATGACCGGATACATCTTGAGGTTTATCGTGTGTACCGGAGCTTCCATGACAATGATGATGATGAAGGAGGTGGGATTTTCGGGCTCGGTTGTCCTCGAGTTGCTCAACCACTATCTCGGAAAGGAGCATTCCCTTTTTGAAGGCAACTAGTACTCCAGTCCAGCACTTTTCCAGTACCCTCAAAGAAAGCAAACCAATGCTTGCGGAATGGTTCGACAAAACAAAAAAAGACTTCCCAAATTAAAAAAAAAAAAAATGAGAAAGAGAGAAGTATAGTTCTTTCACACCGATACACTTCCAGGGGTGAGACAGATGAAACAGGTTTTGGAGCAATTTTTGGAGCAGAAAAATCTGGATTTTGGAGCAGCTTAAGAGCACAAAATTCTCGTTTGAAGCAGCAATTTATGCATTTTGGAGCAACTTCGAAGCACAAAAGTCTACAGTTTGGAGCAGATTAGGAGCAGAAAATGTTCTAGCAGCCTATCAAATTTAAATCATAAAAAATCTGAAATAAATCACATAAATCAGACTTTCATTTTTAATCGTTATTTTTGTCCACCCTAGTTCCAATAAGTCATCAGCGCCGATACACACAGAGACAAAAAAAAAGAGAAAAAACGCGAATTTCATGCGCATAGATGAGGACAGGAAACACAGGCTTGCTGCAGTTAGGTGGGCACCAGGTACCTCAAGCTTATACGAACTGGTGCCAAAGCGCAATTGTAGTGCAAAACTGTTTAAAGCTGTGATTCGAGAGCATGAACAGGGAAGCACGGTTTACTACAACCAGACATCGATCTGATGCTCGTACAAAGCACGTGGAGATAGAAAAAAAAAAACTCACCACAAAAGTGAGTTTTAAGGTAAATAGTGAATTGATAGAAAAACTATGAGCACCACATGCACGCTAAATATGGGTGTGTGACCGATTCATTCAATTGCGAACGCACTGGAAGCACGTGTGTGATAACTGAAAGTACTCACGGTGACGGTGCCGTCCATTTTGACGAGATTACGGACACGAATGATCAATTACACAATGGAGGCGCTCAATAGCACTTTTAAGAAAAGGTTTGCTCTCACAACGAAAGAAATACTTAGGTTTGCTCATCTTGATAGCTTGTGCGTCGTACCTCCCGCAGCCAGACAGCGAGACCGCGTGACAGCTCACCATGCAGTCACAAATGACCAGAGGTCGGCATTTTAGGTCGCCCTCACTCACCCTCACCCTCACAGCCACACTCACCTAAGCCCCTCACTCACCCTCACCCTCACAGCTACACTCACCTTCAGCCCCTCACTCACCCTCACCCTCACACTCACACTCACCTTCAGCCCTTCACTCACCCTCACTGAACCTCACGGCCCTCACGCACTCACCGCCCTCACGGCCCTCACCGCCCTCACGGCCCTCACGCCCCTCACTCACTCACCGCCCTCACGCCACTCACGGCCCTCACAGCCCTCACCGCCCTCACGGCCCTCACGGCCCTCACGCACTCATAGCCCTCACGCCACTCACCGCCCTCACGGCCCTCACGCCACTCACCGCCCTCACGCCACTCACCGCCCTCGCGGCACTCACACCCCTCACGCCCCTCACGCACTCATGACCTTCACGCCACTCAGGCCAGCTTCAGATGGGGCGATTTTGCCCAGAAACTTTACGTCGCAACACCAGCAACACGGGCCGCCCGCGATCGCATGCAGCAACCAATTGCTGCAATTTGCCATCGTCATCATAAAATTTTATTTTTCTTGCGCTATTTGGACACAATTACGCGTTATAAACGTGTTTTTATGCATTTAAACCTCGTTAAGAATGCTAATGCACTTTTCTGAAACAGTTTATTTCCAAAAAACGATCGAGTTCAAACCAGAACCAAATCTTTCGGTGTCATAATCACCGGCACGAGGTATCACATGAAAATTTTGCGTCCCTGATTGGATGCAGCCGCTTCAAACGTATTCGAATTGCTCCGAGTTGCTTGCTTATTTCGAGCCGGACCCGATCTCAGCAATTCGTGTCGATCTAGGGAAAGCTGGAGAACAACCCGCCATTAACACCAAAATTGCTGAGAAAGATGCTCGATCTGAAGGGGTTTCACGCACTCACCGCCCTCATGGCCCTCATTGCCCTCACCGCCCTCACGGCCCTCACCGCCCTCACCACCCTCACCGCCCTCACCGCCCTCACCGCCCTCACGCACTCATAGCCCTCACGCCACTCACCCCCCTCACTGCCCTCACGGCCCTCACCGCCCTCACCGCCCTCACCGCCCTCACGGCCCTCACGGCCCTCACCGCCCTCATGGCCCTCACCGCCCTCACGGCCCTCACGGCCCTCACAGCCCTCACGGCCCTCACTCACCCTCACACTCATGAATTTTCCTGGTTCAGAAACTCACTCACCCTCACCTCACCTGTGAGGATGAGGGTGAGTGAGGGTAAATGAGGGCCCTCATGAGTGAGGTTTGCCGAGGTATGCAAATGACAGCGGAACGTAGTAGGAAAATCGGGAAAAGACCACGTATCATATATATATATAGAAGACTACAGCTGAAATCTTCGAATCCGGCGGTTGCTTGCGCCACCCTGTGCCTGTGCCGTGTACTTTACTACGACGATATTGAATGTTGCCAATCAAGCTCTCGTTTCCTGCAAAATCTAGCTTCGCCGCAAACTTTTTTTTTTAGTTTTTGAGTTACCTTGGCACAAAGTGGCGCAATTTCGACCGATTTCGCGTTTTTGGCACAACTATGCGCAGAAAACTGGGTTTGTATCAAAATGGCGCAATTGGCGCAGATGTCACACCCCTGCACTTTTGGCACTGAAATGGAGTGACAAAAGGGAAGTACATATGTTGACCTCGATGCATGGAGCTTGTCTTGAGGACACTGACAAGGTGGACAGAAGAACAGGCACTCCACAGAAAACGCCAGCATGCGTACTCAAGTACAACCAGAAGATGGGACTCGTGGACAAAATGGACATGCAGTCAAGCTTCACTGAAAGCATCAGGGAGACGCTGAAGTGGTATGGTAAAAGGTGTTTCTTTCACCTTCTGGATATGTCTCTGTTGGATGCTTTCCTTCTTCATCGTGAAAGGAGTGCCCAGAAGATTACATTCTCCGAGGTCAGAAGGGTTGTATACCAGCTTGTTTAGGAGCATCACACCGGGAGGCGGAAGAGTGGAAGGCCCAGCAGAGACAATCCAACAAGACTGACAGCCCAACATTTCCTCGAGAGGGTGCCACAAACCTCAGCGAAAGGCAGCCGCACCCAACGAATGTGCCACGTGTGTGCCAACACAGCTCTCAGACCAAAGCAAAAGTCAGAACACAAGGTTCATGTGCACCAACTGTGACAAGGGCCTGTGTGTGGAACCCTGCTTCAAGGACTGCCACACTTTAAAGAAGTACTAGAAAGTTGACAATTCGAAGCTTTAGTCCTTTTTGGTTTGTTCTACCTCGAGCGAGCGTGCCGCAGATCTTTTAAAAGTTTGTGTTACTATTTATTTTAAGCCTTACATTTTTTTTATGCAACAATAAACTAGCGTATTCTCTTTGCTATCGCACCGAGTAAAAAACCCCGACCATGGGGGTGCGCCTTTAAACAAAAA